GATTAACATGAAATAAAACTAAATTCAATTATTAAGAATATTTTTTTATTTTATTTTACTTACTAGATATGTATAATGAGTTCGTAAATGCAGAGTTTTAAAATATTTTATTATACATAAAATGCTAAAAATTGTTCCAATAGTAATTCCTATGGAATTAATTATAACAAGTGGTCGACCTAATGTGAATACTGATATTATTGTTTCATTTAAAGTTTGATTGTCAATACGAATATCGATATGTTCATCCATTCGATTAAACTAGATTTATTTTGAAATGATTTTTTTCGATATACTCTAAATAATATGAAATAAAACTTTTTTATATGTGTCTGTATATTTAACATCAAGAATAAATGAAGTCATCTGGTTCATACCAAATGTCGTCGAGAATAGTCATAATAAAAAGAATATTAATTATGATGACTGTTTAATATCAATGTGAATAAGAAAAAAAAATAAGATGCGTAATACAGTAAAAAAAAACTTTTGTTTTCTAAGGTCAACTAAAAGAATTGGAAAATTTTCATTATGTGATTATTAAAAAGTTGCTTGTCATATTTAATAATCTAAGAAAAAAGGATATGATTATCAAAATCCTTTTCAATCTTTCAGTTTGTCTATTTTTAAAAATATTACAGATAATGATGAAGACATCAAGCAATGGCGTCAATAATAAGTAAACATTTTTTCTCGATTGTTCGAAAACAAAAAGAATAAGATAGGTTAACGATTGGTTCTATTTCATATTGATCAAATGTTAATGAACGGTAACAATTGACTTTTATATTATCTGACAAAAAATACTTTTTCGACATTTTTACTTTGAATCTTTAATTAAAAAAAAACGCATACATTTGCCTTGTCAATTAGGTAGGGACATCGTCAGTTATTACTGTTTGTTTATAATTGAGTAAAACTTCATACTATATTTTCTCTTCCGTTATAGAATGTTTTCATACATATCATCATGATGCTCGTGATTCAACTGCACAGTCGAATAAAAGATGTGGTGTACTTGGAATTACGAAAACACCGAATTCCAAGATTTTCGATAATGATGATGATGATGGGCAAAAATACAAGGAGGAAACAGCAGACTTTTGTACTTCAAAAACTTTGCGTTACTTTGAGCTACTTTAAGCTTGCTTCAAGTAGAGTACTTTGAAGTACTTTTCAACTTCAAATTTACTTGAAGCTACTTGCAATTACTTCAAGCTACTTTAAGCTTACTTCAAGCCTATTTCAAGTAAAGTACTTTGCCATACTTTTCTACTTCAAGTCTGCTGCTTCCCCTTGCAAAAATGTGATAGTAGTAAATAAAATAATATCGTATCATAGAAGGTACATCTGGACATTAACTTATATGCTTTAGGTAGTGAAAATGAATGCAATTTTGATGAAAATGATGAACGTAAAGAAGAAGACGAATGTGATGAAGAACCTGGTCAACATATGATTGAAGAACAAGATGAAACCCGAGATGAAACTGATGATAATGATGAAGATGACTATTGTAATACTGTCCAAAAGCAACAATACAATCCACACCTACGAGATGATAATGAATGTAAGAAAAAATATACTTGTAATGAGAATTTTGTTTTCTCAGAAGCCTTTTTGGTAGGGTTATTTAGAGCCATCGTAAATAAAAAAAAACGTTAACAAATTCACATTGTTGTTAATTTCTAGATAGAAGATGATATGTTATTATTCAACGTTTTCCATTATTTTAATTCTATTACTATGGCTCTCAGTGAAATATTAGTTGATAACTGGTGTTTTTCAGTCATATTTGATCAATTAGAAAGTTTTATTGTATATAAAAACTTGATTCTATTGAGTTTTTTACATACAAGAAAAAATATATGCATCAAAAAGATTGATTGTTAAGTTTAAAATTCAATTCCTATTTAAACGCGTGACAGTTCTCGATCGAAGAATGAAACCAGTTTTGATTATCAGTTCTTTTTGAAAGAATGATAATTGATGACCAGTTCTTTCGAAAAGAGCTGACGTTTCTAAAGATCTCATTTTATCTTTTTCCAGATCATGTGAATAAAACGTACAAGTTTGCCGGAATGAGACCGTCGAAAACTTAAGGTTAGAAGAAAATCAAGTCTTCAATAAACCAAC